AACCTCAGTTGTCCGGACTCTTTGCGGCCGCCAAACCCTCCGCCCAGACGTCTCGGTTTCCAGCCTTCCATCGTTCGGCCGAACTCGTAGTCCACGAGTACTCTTCGGCCGTCAATCATATCATTGTTAGTCTTCTCATAGACTTCTTCGACAGTCTTCGAGCGCTTGAATTCGACGAAAGCGTATCCTTTCGAGAGTCCGGTCACGATATCCCGCACTAAACGCAGGCTTACTATCGATCCGTACTTTGAAAAGTGCTTTCAATTCATATAATATAATAATAATTATCAGTTAATTATTTGTTAAAATGTTATAAAAAATTAATTTAATTTTTTCTTATTTTTTGGATTTGATCTGGAAAATGATGAAAATTTGAATAAAATATGAAAAATATTAATAAAATTTAATATTAAAATAAAAACAATAAATAAATACATTTCTGCAAATAGTCTGACGATTAAAATCTATTAATACAGCAAATGATTAATGCATTTAAAGGATTAGACGTGTATTTAAATTATATATTATTATTCAAATCATATCCAAAAACTAATAATTAAATCAATTAATAAAATGAATGCAATTTTAAATCTCTATATAAAAAGTAATTATCAATAAAATCATTAAAAACCTTATGAATGGTCTCTTCGGTAGTATTGAAGTCGAGTCGGGAGACAAACAGTGTCTTCTTGGGATCACTTTTGATGGATCGGTCGATCATATGTTTGGACTGCAATGAAGACAAGGATTACGGGACCAATTAGACTGTGATATGAAACACAAGACAACAATGACATACATGGATGGCACGGATCAAAGCCCTGTCGTGCGGCGAAGAGTCGGTGCCATCAATACTGCCCACTCTTATGGGGTCGTAGACTGTGGCCAATGATCTCCACTCACATCCACTGGTCCTGCGGTCAGCCATCGAGTGATAGCACACAAACACATGCCATGTATTGGCCCGCAGACAGTGATGACCAACGGATGTGACNTCAATACTGCCCACTCTTATGGGGTCGTAGACTGTGGCCAATGATCTCCACTCACATCCACTGGTCCTGCGGTCAGCCATCGAGTGATAGCACACAAACACATGCCATGTATTGGCCCGCAGACAGTGATGACCAACGGATGTGACAATTGTCTTGTCTTGAGTTTGTGGTCACGTGTTGTTGACAAACAATTTGGTTGTTTTCAATTCAAAACTCGTGTCAAACCAGTTGTCGATTCAGTGATCAGTAGAGAGACATCTGTTGTCCATTGGTTTGCATTGTATTGTAAAGTCATTACAAAATTAAATTTGCTTTTAATTCAATTTAAACAAATGTTTTACAATTATTAATACATTTATCTAAAGTTATTAAACAATTATTTTATTTTATTTAATTAATTGTTTTCTAAAAGACTTTGGTTTACTTAAAATAGTTAAACGAATAGTAAAAACAAACAAAAATTTTTAATGTTTTCTAAGAAAAATCAAAAGTTTAAACAAAACTAAAGCTGTCGTTAAATTTTCTTAATTATAATTAATTTTATAATTAATTTCAATAATAGAAACCATTGAAACAAAACAACAAAATCATTTAAATTAATTCATAATTAAATCAAATAACAATATGTCATACATATTATGCATAGAATGCTCAACACTTAGGTGTCATAAGAATTAATTAATTATAAAATAAAATTACTAAAAGTCATGTTAATCTAGATTTTTTGTCAAGCAATAAGTAAAATATTACTTATTATACAGTATATAAAATTTAGTGTTTTGTACACAATATGTTGCTTTAGTAACAATTGTTTTACAA